AAACTGTTGACGAGTTATAGGATTTTTTATTTTTCGAGATATTATACCTAGAAATTTCTTATCCTCTGAGGTGCCATTATTTGATAAACTATTCCAAGCAAGTTTGACATTTGATGGTACTCTTTTCCTAAATCGTCTCCAAGCATTTTGAATAATTCTTGCATATCCATCCTGAGATTTAGGTTTATTACACTCCTGATCTCAATGTTTTTGCATCAAATCTTCAGGCTTGATAATTTTGACATATCTACTTCTAGTATAATGAAATGACTTTATTGGTTTTACATTATCAACATGAATAAGCTTCATACAATCTAGACATATCGCCACATTAACCTTATAGATTCTAGGCCTGAAGTAATCATAATCTACAAATTTACCCTTACCAAATCCTAGGAATAAAGCATGCACATGGTAAACACTTCTTTTCCTCTCAGAGACCAGCTCTTGTAAAGGAACTCTATCCTGAATAGTCCATTGTTGTGGAGTTTCATTAGATCGAATAAGTGATAAAGTATCATATTGTCTTTTAGTTTCAAAGAGTTTATCAAAGTATCATTGATAATCATTAATATCACAATAATTGTAAATATATGAGACAACATATTTCATATCATATTCCGGTCTATTATTAATGAGTTTCTGCAATTTAGCTTTTTTGTCAATAATAATAGAAATATTAAGACTTGACATATTTGGTTATTTATGATATAGATACTTAAAACCAAATTCATTTTTTGTTTGATTGGATTAGATCACTATATTCTGAAAAATTATCACATCTTAGGATTCGATATACTTATCAAACAAAATCTAACCCCCCTCCTCATTTATAGATTCCAGTAGCTGGCTACCTCCTCCTACATCGGGCATACTAAAATCACTGTCATTTTGTGATGCAGATATATTAAGAGCTAAAGTAATATTTATCAACTCGGATAAAGATTCGTATGTCACATTATCTCGATTATTATTCTCATCCCTTTCACTAGGAATTCTTCGAGTGGGAGACGTGAATCGATTCCTTTGGTTGGCAGTAAATTCACGGGAACTCGTACTTAGAATTAATGGCACTTCGTAAGTTGGTGGTGAAGTACGGTTACAGTGACGTCTTCTCGCGGATGTGTTTTCATTATGCAATATGTCAAATGGGATTTCTACATTTTTCGTATTCAAACAAAATATTTAGGATTTACTTTCCATATTAACAGAGTATCACAGGTCAAAATTCGAATATCGGATATCTATCGGGCACCTATCGGTCCCCGATATTTTCAAATATCGGTTGATTATCGGGAAATCATTAGGTACATGAAATATTTTTATATATATCGGATGTCCAATATCTGCATTTTTTTTAAAAGCCCGATAGCATTTTGTAAAATTTATGATGCGCCCGATAGCTATGCAATAAATTTTGTTTTGATCTCAGGTGCCCGATATTTTATTAATATCGGGTATATAATAATAAATAGTAATATCAGGAGTATGATATTTTTTAGATTCCTTCAGGTATTGATATTATAGTAATATCGTGAACCCGATATTTTTAAAGTATATCGAGAACCGATATTCCTTTTTTAAACGGACGCACGAGAAAATTTTTTATTTTAAATTTTATATAATCTATCAGATCCCTGACACTATATTTTAATTAAACTTAATTCGTCTTTATGCAGTATACACTTAAAATTCAAGTTTTCTACTTGAAGTTCTTTATTATAATATAAAAAAAAGAATAAATTAAACATTAAATCTTCTATTCAATGGAATTATTGATATATAATTATTCCTATTCCCAATCCGATAGTCTATCTTAATGGCTCTACCATATATTCTATGCACTGCAATAATTAAATCTTGACCTTCCTCATAATATTCTTCTTTTTATAATTCTGTATTCGATATTTCAGATGCCATAAACTTATGCTTAAATCATATATTAGAGGAAGGTGCATTTTTATACCACTTGACGTATGCTAGAAAATGTGTTTTGGGTCCCTTTGTTAGAAGTGTAAGTGTATGTTCAAAGTAATATTGTACCTCTCTAGGATAAATATCACTTGTCCTATCTCTAAATGCATTCCACTTCGCTAAAATCACTGCATTATTTTCATGTCAACCTGTGACTTTGAACCCAAATATTTCATTACCTATTTTTAATCTTGCATGTTGGTTCATAGTCACTTCCATACATACTTTCACATCTTTTTTTTCTTTGTTATATAATGTTGCATACCATTTGCATAATATTTTATAGAGTTCCAATGGAATACTTACCTTTTAATACGAATGTACTAGCATTCGTCCTGATATATTTTCAGTGTCATAAATCTTATTGGACGTATCATGTCTCAAAGAGATGAAATTCTGTAACTCTTCTCTATCAAATTCATTAGTTACAGCTAAGCTACCAGCAGTTTTCTTTGGTATAAGAAATTGAAGAGACTTCTCCAAGAGACCAGATATCTATTAATAGGAAAGATGATAATTCACAAGTGAATTTTTGAAAACTATTTTCATAAGTTCGAGTTCAATCTGCTGATTACTATTGGGATAAGAACCTATGAAAGATTTGTATTAAAATTTTATTTACTATAATTCATATATCCGATATCTATAGTTTACCTATATATCTATTTAATTGTTCATATGGGAATAGTCAAAAGCTATAAATGGAGCTATAATCCTATATACATTTAGGAATATGCATTGATAAATAGATATTACTTGTAATGAATTCAGGTCCATAAGTTCTTTCTATATTTATGGATATATCCTTTAATTGTTCTTGTGCTTCTTGCAGATCGTCTTCTATAACAAATCTAGTAACTAATAAGTTACATATCCAAACAAAATATCTCAAAATTTTTCTATCATTATCATCTAACATGTTCTATAGAATTGTTGTTGCATAAACCATAATGAAGGTCTTCTATTGATCAGTAGTAAGCTTTAAAAATCCTTCTCCAATAGTGATTTTTAGAGGGATTCGACCAATATCAGATGGAAGTTGAACATTATCCATCCTCCTTTGTACTATACGAAGTTGCTCATAATTTAATTTATTTTCTTTAATAAATATGAATTAAATAATCTATTTTGCAATTCCAAGGAACAAGTAGTACATAGGATCCATTACCGCAAATTTGATTGGATTCATGTAAGGAAGATGAAGTAATTCAGATCATCGTATTCTGTGCTCTTTGAAATGAGCTTCTCTTATTCCTCTGGTGATACATCTAAACCATTCTTGAGTATATTGTTTATATTCTTGGAAGTCTGCAGATTCTCTAATCCATTGTTCATAATCTTCCATATTAACATAATGAGTTTTTTGGAACTTCTCACTATATCAGTTTCTTTTTGAACACCTGTGACATTTCATTACTGCAGATCTATATCCAAATAACTTTTTTGTAACTGGAATATCGGAAGAACCTACAATTATCGTAACTCTTATATCAAGCCCATCCTTATTTTCATATGTTTCAGGAACTCTCCATCCCTCCCATAATTCCTTAAAACATTAACTATCGGTGATAGATAATGATTAATTTGATTTTTATCAGCTTCTTTAGGTCCTAGAAGAAAGTTCAAATAAATTATATTTTCGAGCTTATTTCTTTTGGTCCTAAGGAGATTATATATCAAAACATAAATAGCACTAGTGTTATGTTGTGTATACTTGAAAAGTTGAAACCAGTCTAAATTTATTAATAATCCTAAATTTGAAGTGACAGTTTCCAGACTAAAAAATTTGCTACCATTGAAAAGAAATAAATTTTAAACTCTCCTATCATATATATCAGCATAGATATTGCTGTCATAATTTCTTGCACCCGATTGATCAAGCATTTTTTCAAAACCTGATCTCTGGTATATGATACTTAATTACTATTTAATTAAAGGTTTAGGATATAACATTCGTGAAATAACTACCATATTTTTCATATTTCTTTTGAGAGAGGAGAGTTCATTATCACATAAATTCTTACAGGAAAGTACAGGATTATTAGAATATTCTTTATAATTGTAATGCATAATTATCAACTTATTATTTTCTTTATAATTACATATAATCTTAGAATCATATAATTTATGACAGTTTGTACAAACTGTCATCTTTAATTTTGGTTGAAAATTTTCTAACTTCTTTTTTACTATAAATAAAGAAGCAGAAAATTCACAAAACTTAGAATTATCAATTATCATAAGTATATTATTTAAAAACTTAATTAAGGCCTCCAGGACTATATTAGGTATCTGGTACCTTTGTTGAAACTTAAATAATTACAAAAGTATCTCTACATCTAATTTATCTTCTAATTCTATTCCTTTATAGCCTTCGTTATCACATTCTAGCTTAGGTGCAACAAATAAGTTATTATCATCTTTAGGTACTTCATTATCTGTATCTATATATTTTACTTAATCATCATTATTTTCTTCTTGGTCATCAATTAATTCATTATTATCACGTTATTCTTCTAAGTCATCAATTAATTCATAATTTTCTTCATTTCTTATATCAAACAAAAGTTCATCATCATACATATCAGGTGTCTCTTCTATATTAAGTTCATGAAATTGATCATTTCTTGATCGAGATGATAATGCAACTTCAAAACCTAATCTTGTAAGCATATCGCTTACAGATATGTTCCTATTTAACTTTGAAATGTTAGTTATATCCTTAACCGGAGATAACTGTTAAAAACTGATTTTTCTTTTCTTGCTACTCTTATTTGATATATTTTCATTCACTTAATTAAAATATTATAAATATTACACAAGTTAAAAATTGATATATCGAGCTTCCGATATGGTCACTTACATATCTGATATGATTATTTATGATCACAATGTGTATGAAGTTATTTTACAATTAACTTACCTTCACAATTAAACTTTCTTGCTTCAATTATAGCTAATTGAATTTTTCTTTCTTTATTAGATTTTCACATAATTTTTTCATTAGCATACTTTTTCTGGATCCGTCCATTAACTTTTTTTCCTTCACAGTCTGTACAATTACAAATATATTTATATTTTTTTTTAGGATTTATCAAAATCAAATAAAAGAGATTCCGTTTGAGCAGTCGATTTTTGAGTTTTATTTTTCAAATCAGTTATTTTATTCAAAAGATAATTAAAAGATATATTAGTTAAAGTTTAATAAATTTATTTTCAAAAAAAATGTTCCTAAAATATTTACAAAGTCAAATACTTGCTTTCTTTATAATACGCAAAAATTATTTATATAATTTATAGAGATGATACATATTCACATTTCAAAATTAGAGAAATTTTATTTAGTTAATGCATTTTTTATAAAATATATATAGTAATGATTTATTTAATATGGATA